GAAGGAAGGAAGGAAGGAAGGAAGGAAGGAAGGAAGGAAGGAAGGAAGGAAGGAAGGAAGGATGGATGACGTGGGGTCTTCACAATTCAGCATTATTCAGTTGGCCTTCCTGATGAACCTGGGAAGACACCGCTGTTTTAAGGAAGTATGTACAGCGCTACATGAATGCCTGCGCATTCCAAAATCTCTTTTGAATCTGAAGCACTGCACAGCCCTATTCAGCATGTGCTGCCACTGCACTGTTTTGTGATGACAATCAGAACGATTAACAGATTACGCTTTATACCTCTGCTAATACATGTTGAACCGAATGCTTTGTGGGGCTGCGTGGTGACTCTCTGGGGTCTGGAACTGATTTGGCTTGGCTCTGCTTGACTCTGCATAGCCCTGGTCTTCTTCTGGGTTCCAAACATACTCCCTGATCAGATGGAGCTGCCCCTTGAACATGACATGAAGTTGTTTGGTCCAAAGGCTCGTTGGTTTCTGCAGGTCTTGGAGGAGAAGTACTTAGGTAATCAGGGATGTGATCTTCTCGTGGGGTTGATTTTTTCACAATGTGCTCACCACTGCATTCAGGGCCTCCAGTGACCATTATCCCATTACTGTTGGGAATGGTTTCAATGCACTGCCCAGAGGTGATTCCATTCCTCAGAATGCCTGCACAGGAGCAGGGATGGCAAAGACTCAGGGTATATTTAACATCTAGCTGGGGCTCTGATGTTTGCAACACTTTTTGGTCTTTGCTTCTCCAGTGGGTAGGCGCAGCTGACTTCAGAACTTCCCTTTCCATCTGCAAGGAGCAACAGAAATATTTAAGAGCATTTTGGGGCATTCCTGACATGAAATGAAGCAGCTTTCCCCTGCCTATTGAGACTATAAACCAAGAATTCCTTCATCAGCACAGCTGTTGTCTCCTATGTTATACTGAAGTTGAGTTTTACTACACAAGTAAATTAAATACCACTGTGATGTAACTGCTGTAAGCCATTTTGACTAATATACATGTTTGTTCATACAACCTTATGCAGAAGTTATTTCACCAATACAGTGGAACCTCGGTTTACGAACTTAATTCGTTCCGTGACTCTGGTCGCGACCCGAATTGGTCGCGATCCGAAGCCAATTTTCCCATAAGGTTCAATGTTAGCCACGCTAACAAGCACACCAAAAACCTTCACAGAACGCTAAGAAACACGCCACAAGCCTCACCGAACGTCTCCTTGCTACCACGATCTCGCCCACAGGAAGCCGCGATCGCGTGGCAGCAGGGAAAATGGCCGCGGATCCCGTTCGTAACCCGAGGCAGAGTTTGCAAACCGAAGCAACATTTTGCAGCTGGAGCTGGTCGTCACCCAAATGTTCGTGAACAGAAGCGTTCGTAACCCGAGGTTCCACTGTATATACATTATTTGAAATGTTTATTGTAAATGTTTGTAATTTTGTATCAAAAACACAGATATCTTGTATACCTCTTCTGCCATGGAATTATACAAAATGAAAGAAAGCAGTCCAAACGTTATCAGGAGCCACAGCACTACATTCTTTCCCTATTTTGCCCTGTCAGTTTTCTTGACATGCAGCACAGGGACCCATTCTGCTGCTGACTTTGAGATAGAACATAATCTAAGCTGCCTGCTGAAATATTTGTGAAAATGAAACATTCCTGGCTGGAGAGGAGATGTGGGTGTGGGGGTGTGGGGGTGCTTTGCAGAAGTAGCCATTTTATGAAGATGTCATAAAAGCATTTTTTTTTTTTTTGCAAATGCTTATACACCAGTCAATTCAAAACCATTCATTCAGTTCAATGGAATAAAGCAGCACCACAGAGAAAAAAAATCTCTTCATTGCATCGTCTCAATGCCAAATCTGGACCGTTTCCACTAGCTCATCTCAAATCCTTACTTTGCCAGAAGCACAGGTCGGTTGGATGCAGGGACTCCTCCAAACTTCAGGAGGCCTCACAGCAACGGCCTTGCTTGCTTCTTCCATCTTTCGCCGCAGACGCCACTGGAATAGGATGTCATCTTCTGTTTTGAAGAGTGGGATACAGAACTTGGAGTGATATGGTAAGGAATAATACTTAAACTGTCTGGAAAGCGAAAAAGACATTGTTATGACTCTGAAGTCATAACTGCAAAGGAGCTCCTGGGAAAAATAAATGAAATGAAATGAAATGAAATGAAATGAAATGAAATGAAATGAAGGCAAGCTATATGACCTGTACATGGATGTCTCATAGAATTGTAGAGTTAAAAGGGGCTAATAAGATCATCAGGTCTAACCCTCTCCAATGGGCAGGGAAACCAAGTAAGAGAGATGGCTGTCTACCTCTATAGACAGACTGTTCCACTGTTGTACAGCTCTTACCATCAGGAAGTTTTTCCTTATATTTTAACAAAATCTAGGTAGCTGCAACTTGTGTCTCTTTATTTTTCTTCCTGGTTTCCGTAGACACGGAAAACGATTCTTGATCATCTTCCCTATTACTTCCCTTTATGTACCTGAATACGGCTATTACACCTTCCCTTCAGACTGAGCATGCCAAGTTCCTTCAGCCTATCTTTATCAGATATGTCATTAAACCCCTGTATCACCTTTGTCGCCCTCTTCTAAACTGTCAATGTCCCCTGAAAAAGTGGAGTCCAGAATCAGATACAACCCCAGTAGTCTCACCAGTGCCAAGGAGAGAAGAATAATTACTTCTGAGATCCCTGATATCACGTTTCTAATGCAGCCCAGAAATGCAATAGCCCTTCTAACATGCAAGCTGATTCATGTTCGGCTTGTTATTAATGACCACATTCAAATTCTTCTCAGATGAAATGTTTCCAGGCCACAAGTCCCCAATCCTTCATCTGTGTCCTGCATTTTTTCTCCCTAATGTTGGAATGATTTTCATAAATAAGCGTATATTGATTTATCATCTTTGCTGACTGAACATGGGTTCTCCCATCCCCCTTCCACTCTCAGTGGCCATTTCTTCACTAGCCTCAGGCAAAAGTTACAGATACTCGTGTGAAAAAAAATGATTCTAGATCACAGATCTTGCCCTACCTTTGGCTTGGTGTGCTGCAAGGCGTTGTAGAGCATGTTGAGGCAAGTCTGTGGTACTCTTTGTGATGGTGGACGTAGAAGTGGAACCAAGCCCTTCAGAGCTTACAGGCCTGGAGCTACTCAGGGGTGACATGCTGCAAGCAGAGGATAGATGGAGAAAGATGTCTTGTTAGAAAAGAAGTTCAACTGGAGGGAAAGAATCAGTTGGCTGAGACACCAAGCAGAGGCACAGAAGTGGAAAACGGCATTGGTCTATTGGGTGACGGACAAAATATAAGTGAGGCCAGTACCTTCTGCATAAGAGCCTAGCTGCTTTTTCCTGCAGGCTCACTGTCTCAGCGTCAAGTGCAGAAGCAGCTTGCATTTCTCCCTGCAAAGAGCATACAAAGAAAGTGTAAAGAGGGAAAACTCCATGGGGGAAAGTATGCCAAGATTTTGCCAATCGGACAAGAGTGGAATTTTCAACACTTCTGAAAATGCACACCAATGCAAAACATGTAAGTTATAGGAAAAAAGGATGGAGAATTCAATGCAATGCAATGTGACCATGGAAAGTAACTCTCATGTAGGCAGAAGCAAGGTAGAGGCAGAAGGAAAAAGGAGATAAGGCAACCTGGTCATCAGTAACAGAAAACTCCTGGGACAGAGGCAATAAAAAGTTGTCTGCCGGCCATTCCAGGTGAACATTTAAAGTAAGATTTCCCTTCTGTGCAAATTCAGAACTGTTGAAGGCTGTTAGGTCCTTGATAAAAGACAAAGAAGTGACTGGGGAATCCAAACCTGAGAAATGTATTAACTGAGAAACACTGTAACAAGTCTTACATTTTTCTCTACCCAGAGCAGAGCAAATATTCCAAGTAGGACGAACCCTATGCAGACACATTTGATCAAATGACCTTCCTATGTATCTACTGCATTTGTATTCTGACCTCCCTTGAAGCAGTTCAGGGTCACATAGATGGGCATATCCCATTTTATTCTCACAGTCAGCCTTTGGAGGAGGCTAGGCTCAGAAACCACCCCAGCTCAAGGTCATTCATGTAGGCTGAGCTTTATGGCTGATAAGGATTGGAATCCCCCAGGTCAAATACAGTTTTCCCAGCTTTCTGGGCCCAAGATTACCCATGGGCTGGAAAACAGGAGAAAAAGAAACCAGGAGAGTTGTATTACTTTCTGCCTCTTGCGTAGAAATGATCCTCGTCTAGGAGAGTATCTTGTTACTCACCGAGGGAGAATGAGTCAGGATGGGACTGAGAAGAGATGACCTCACTTCACTTTGGCTGTTATCTGCAAAGAGACATCTTCATTAAACGTGAAGGATTCACATAGAGCAATCATCTCTGGAAAAGGGCAATTTTTCAAAATATGTTATGTGCAAAAATAAAAAACAAATCACAGGATGCTTCAATAGGTTAGCAAGTCCTTGGCACCCGTGTCAGGTATACATCCATGGGGCTGAAGAGTTCTCTCTGAACCATAGTATCACCTACATGCCTTTCCAGCAGGTCCACAAAAACTCTGTGAACAGACCACCAGTCAACCTGCAGGAAATACTAGGGATGCACAGAACATTTAGGAACCAAGAACATTATCTGAGACTCTGCCACACTCAGAATCCCCTCACTATTGTTTAAAAAAAACCTTACGCCACATGCCCAATAGTTCCAAAGCGGATGAAGACAATGCAATACTTGTTGTCCTCTTGACAAGGCTGTTCATTATCCAGACTTGCTAAGAACTGCTAAGAACACTTCATGTCCCCCAACTGGGAACTGGCAAGTAGAGGTTGCCCAAGGATAACATGCCACTGTGTGACCATAGCTATATCTGCAAACCTCCAAATGTAAAGTTCTTCCTATCTATTGCAATCATTCCTAAGGCAGCTTTATTTCCATAAGAGAACTCAGACTTTGCCTTTTGCCTTGGACTGGCAAAATCTCTGTGTATAGCACAACTATATTCACACATCATGTTAAGCCATAATGTGGTTGTTTATTCTGACTCAGCAAAGCATATGAATCCAGCCACTGAGGCTTAGTGTCTTGTGTGCACCAAATAAACCATGGTTAAGACACACCATGACTTAGCACAACGCATGAACCCAGCCAGATCTCTATTCTTCTATAGGATTTAAGTACCTGAAGACAGCGATGCCTCCTTCTTGGAGTTTTCTCCATCTGGGAGAAATAAGTGGTTAAGCCACCAGAACTCAGTAGAACCACCACTAGGTGTCAAACGCTCTTTACGATCAGTGGGCTTCCCGTAGCGAAACCGTTCAATATACCTGCCAAAGGAAAGAAAGGAAGTTTAGTTGGTAGGCAATCATTGCCTTCAGGACTCTAAGGAAAATGGGTCAATAGAAAAGCAGCCAAGGCCATCACTATGTGTTCATCTAAGCCCAGTTATCTCTGTTAACTCGGCTTCACCTCTTAACAACAGGACTCACTTGGCAATAACAGATTCACTGTCTGAGACAGAATCTGGGAGCTTTGGTGCATCCAGGGTCTTAGCCTCTGATGATTGCTGTGCTGGAAGACCCTTTGTTCCTTCCGGAGTCAGGGAGGAAGAGCTGCGTTCAGTTGAGGGCCATGACTCATTGAAGGGGCTTGTAGAGTTTGACTTAGGGGGCTTTCCCTCCTGGGAGTTGGAGTCAGGCAGTAAATGAGGGTATGAAGGACCTGGTTCTGCCTCCTCAGGAAGGATAGAGCAATTCCTATGCTGCAAACGAGATGGGCTCAGAACCTAAGAAGTTAAAAAGTAAAGAAGACATGATCCCAAAACAATGCCTTGGCATGGACATCACAGAGATCCAAACTCAACATAACTCAGCTGCCTATTCCTATATTGTAGCTTCGTCCTGTGAGACTTTATACATCACAAATTCCAGTAGCTAAAGGCTTTAGAAATGTCAGCCATAGCCTTATGCCTTAAGATCTACTTTATCCTTACATTTCCGGAAAGAAGGCTAGATGACCAGCTCAAGAAGAGCTTCATGGCCAAGCTGATTTCAACCTGGGTCCCCCCAGGCAGAGGCTAATGCTTTGGCCACACCCATCAGCTCTTGGAATGCCTAACTCCTGCAGTAAGATGGCTGTTCTGCTTCAGCATTTGGATCCAAGAGAAAAAAGAGAGAACACTCTGTATTCCTAATAGCTAGATTCCCAATTCCTGTCATCCAATTCCATAAGGATGGATTGCCTGGGATCCAAAAGAACAGTCGGCTTTCTGTTGCTATTTGCTCTCCTTAGAGACCACATAGCATGACTTTTATCACCTCATCTTCTTCTCACCGTCTGTTGCTGCTTCTGCCTCAATGGCTGGGCCCGGGAGGGATGATAATGGCTTCGGGAACTGGATGCCTCCAAAAAGGGGCTCCCAAGAGTAGAGAATACAGCTAGACTGTGGGTAAACAAGGAATGCCAATTAGACAAGTGTCTACACTTAGCATTAACCACAACCAATTGGCAAGCAAAGGAAACCTAATTCTTCTGCATCTAGGAGAAAAAAAATAGTAGGGACATAATAATATGGACTTTTTGGTGAGATTGAACTACACATTGCAGACTGAAATGGTAGAACTGTGGGTGCACCAGACAAATTAATTTTACAGGGTCCACAGTGTTAAAACACTCATCTGGAACATCCAGCAGGATGTCTCTAAATCTTTCTCTCTAGGATGTGTTGTTAAATACACAGAGTTTATATGCTGTTATTTAGATTTCTAACAGCATTCAAATCTCTAATTCCCACTTTTAATTCCTAACTTCTGTTTCTTTCTCAATCAAGGGAAAAGACACTCAGCCTCTCCCAAGGAGACTAGACAGCATTGCCAAAAACAAATCTGTCAATGGCAGTGATCACACTCAGTGACAATTGCTGGGAAACCTGAATGAGTGGGTACAAGCACATTTGTGCCCTGCTTTTCATAGGGTTCTAGCTGGATTAGATGGATTGTTGGTTAACTCCAGCATATCTATATATCTATATCTGTACTTTACATAGTACAGAAAATGAGGCTGCCAGAATAAAGTGGTGTATTCTGGGTTGTTCCTGTGATTGATGCATTTAATAACGTGGCATACAGAGAAAGATGTTTCCAACATGCAGATTTTTTTTAACAGCAGGAATCTGCAAAATACATTCCTCTGGTACACCCAGAGTTCTATCACTTCAGTCTGTGTAATGTGTAGTTAGATCTTACAGAGAAGGCCATATTATAGTATCCACCTTGTTTCTTAGATGCAGCTAACTAAACTTATCAAGTCCATTCTATCCATCTTTTGCCATAGTATCCCCATGGCAAAAAGCAGGCACCCACTCTTGTACCTAGAATCCATTGTTTTCCACCAAGGCATTTGCAGAGAGGTAGTTGAAACCATGCCAGAAATATATTTGCCTGCTCTCCTCATGAAAATGATGTCACGTTTTCTGAAGCATGTTCTCTGAGCAAACAAACAGAAAAAGATCCAGGATTACTTTTGGCATCAAACAATTTAATTCTTTTGCCTACTCTGGGCTTCTGTGGATTTTCATTTCTCTTTGGTTAGGTTTGGTAAGGATGATAAAGAATATGCTTAATACTCTCAGCAACTGACAAGGCCAGAAATCGATCCACAAATTAGTAAGGGAAACAGCTGCAACTACTGTAGTTGTGGGGAGGGATTGAAGCCTCCGATCCCTTCTTAATATCTCACAGCACCCATTCAACTAGACTACTCAATTCATTATCCTGCTATTTTGATATGGGAAACATGAAAATTATATCACAAGCCTGAAAGAAGCTTCTAACTGTTTTCTTAGAAAAACAACCCTGCTTGAAATGCAGGGGGAAAACACCACCACCACCCAGGACATCCCATCCCATCTACCTGCACTATGGCCCTTGCTCTCTTCAAACCACTAAGTACAGGCCTCACCCATCAAATGTTGCCCATCATTTGTCTAAACTATGAGGAATGCTACTGAAAAGTGGGGTAGGCTTGTTCTCCTAGAATCCTTTATACAGATTTGGATGGGGTAGGCAACCTATTGAGGGCCAGATCAGCTTGTGGTCTTTGCCATAGAGGCACAACCAGTGACAATATGACAGTGAAAAACAATCTAATTTTGAAAGAGGTTTAGGAGGTGAAATATATCCCATAAGCCATGTTGGAGGCATAAGGTACCCATTTTGCTTTCGAGCTCCCCCAGCCCCACTAAAAGGTGTTAAATACCCACTCCGGAGGGCTCTGGGCCTGCACATGAGTTTTGAGAGTCACATCTAGCATGCAGGTCAACCACAGCTAGACCAGAGACAGATCCACATTCAAAGGACTCTCCTAGTTAACTCAACCCATACGTGAAATCCAGTGCAACTCCAAAACTGTTGGAATCCCAGCCTGTTTCCATCAGCTGTGTTGCTGCTATGCAGCCTTTCCAGCTTCTAACTTTGCTGGGCTTCCAAGCAAGGAATTCTTTGCAGCCACCTTAATTCTCATGGGCACTTGGGAAGGAAATTTCCATGGTGCTTCCCAGCAGCACCCCCCCCATATGCAGTTGCCAAGGCAACAGGTTTTTGTCCTTTTTTCCCCTCTCCTGTGAATGCACCTCATTCACTGACCCTACTATAGCATGGCACAATGAACAGCATGATGCAACAAACAGCACAGAATCCCTTGCTGTGGAGAAAAAACTGTACAGCTCCAAGTGATCAAAGGTGGTGCAGTTTCTAGTCTAACATCCCAATGTGATTTTCTTAAACCAGCTCTGATGCTGGCCCTAAAGATTTAAAGACGGCAGTTTTTGCCAGAGTAATGCAAGCCACTGCCTTGCTAGTCAGGATCCCAAATATGGCCTAAGAATTGTGAAATATAAAAATTGTCCGGGATCCCACCAATGGGTTGTTCTGCTTACTGCAAAAATGAAATCATATTGCAAGGAATCGGGCGGTAGCCAACATTAGTTCCTAGTTACCCATACCGTAGTGCATGCCTACAGAAGACCTTAGGTTCTACGAAAGTGTTTCTCTCTCTTTTTTCCCTACAAAAGTGTTTCTCAACCTTGGCAACTTCCCCCCAGCAAGGCTGGCTGGGGAATTCTGGGAGTTGAAGTCCACACATCTTAAAGTTGCCAAGGTTGAGAAACACTGTTCTACCAGCAAGGCTGGCTGGGGAATTCTGGGAGTTGAAGTCCACACATCTTAAAGTTGCCAAGGTTGAGAAACACTGTTCTACCAGCAAGGCTGGCTGGGGAATTCTGGGAGTTGAAGTCCACACATCTTAAAGTTGCCAAGGTTGAGAAACACTGTTCTACAGTCTCAGCACAGAAGAGAAGAATTTCCTTTCTAATGATACTAGCAGTTACCAGCAGGACCCAGCGCTTTGCAACCAATTCTTTATATGGCAATTGCTACAAGTCGCCTTGTCACAGCAGTTGGCATTACTGATCAGCAGATTGTTTCTTGCATTTGACACACCAGTTCTAACTACAGCAGCCTGTGATCCTAGGGACAGGTAGAGATTGCCCTCTGTTTAGGAAAGCATGCTGACTGGAGCAATCCTTGCATCCTTTGGATTGATCTAGGCCTCGGAGGCCACATCCTGCCTCACAGCATCTTGGAGGAAAGGGTAGAAGGGCGGCCCAGCAAATGCATTTGTTCTCTACCGTCTCTCTGTGAGTTTAGCAGAGGAGAACCAAGCTTTAAGTTGCTTCTTTTTAGATTCCCATCCTTGTTGGACAAAAGCATTGCCCATTTTCTCCCAACTCACATTGTTGGAATTGGCTGGTGGGATGACTGATACTTGCGAAGAGAGGAGTCTTTGGAAAAGACTCTGATGCTGGGAAAGATGGAAGGCAAAAGAAGAGGACGGAAGAGGATGAGATGGTTAGATAGCATCACTGAAGCAATGAGCATGAAAC